TAAAGGTTCAACATCCCAGGTTAGCCCTCAGTCAGTCTCCTTCAATGCAGTCTTCGAGGATGGAGTCAGCCTCACTCACTCAAACCTGATGGCCATAAAATTCTGTGAGGGCTTCAGTCAATCGGGTCATTCATGGAGCTCTTCTCCTCAAAGAACAGAAGTTCTAATGGAAATAAAAGCTAGGGTTCCCGTGCCTTAACCACACACGTGCACACACACACGTCAGTATGGCTCAGCCAGTGATGACTCATTTAATAAATGTTAAGTGAGCACCTAAGATGGTACAGGCCCATTTCATGTGGGTTATAAATGGACCAGGTGGTTTACTAGATAAAGCTGCAGAAAAGGAACTGCCCAAAGTCCCAAGGTGAGGTGCTGTCCCCTGGGGTCCAACATCCGGGTGTACTTCCTCTCTGCCTGCTTAGCCCACTGCTCCACGTTTCACAAATCAGTACTGTGTCAGGCCCTGTGCTAGCTCCCAGGGAAGGAGAGGTCCATGGGGCGTGGCCCTTGTCCTCACAGAGTCACTGTCTAGCCAGAGGATGGGAAAGGACAGGCTGCAAACCTGTAACTGGTGGCAGACCCACAATTAACTACTTTTTTGTCTCCCACTCCCATCTAAGTTTATTCCGTGTCCTCTCCATTAGTGGGAACAAAGTGGAATCAGGAGGTGGCAGAAAACATTTAGATGAATTTGATGCTCGGGTTAAGTCCTGCTCTTTCCAGTTCTCCGTTATAAATGGCAGGAGGCTTGTAGGGACCCCAGCTGCAGACCCCCAGATGGGATGGAGATTAAGGTGGGAGAGAAGGATATGGTCTCTGCTCTTCAAACTCTCTCTCCTATAGAGTCCATAGGAGTTTCAGGTTGCAGGGATGGGCAAAGATGGATAACAGATGAGAACTGAGCTGACCTTGGCTTCTTATTCCTGACATCTGTTTGCACCGGCCTCTACTCATATTTAGCCTTGAGCTTCAACTCCGAGTAAAAACATTCATCAAGATGGTATGTTCTGAATTCAATATCTCTGAGCTAATTCCAAGTATTACCCACAAATAGAGATTAGGAAAGGAGACAAGAAATCTCAGGCCCTTGTCTAGAGCCCCAGAGATCTGCCTTCCATGACAGTGTTTCCTGTCCCTTTGTCTCTGGATCCGGAGCTGGGCCCTCCAATGGTGAGAAATCATCACGCTGCTTAAGTGTTCCTTCCCTGTTCCTTCCCTACCTTCTCCATTTCATCCCCAAAACATAAACAGGCTGATGGAGTCCCTTCAAACTTTGCCAAAGCAAACTGTGGCTTAAAAATGGAAATGAACTGAAATCGCAAAATAATACCTGAACGGACAGTAAAGCTCTCAACTCTTGTGTCAGACCCAAGCCCCAGCCTGAACCAATGCTCTTTTAATGACTTAATGGTAAATGCTGAACAAATTAGTGTTCCCTTAAAGTTGTCCTGGGGCACACGGAGTCACAGTCTTTAATTTTAATGAGCTTCTATTACACAATCTCTAACTGCCTCTTAACTGCCAGTGAAATGACCACCAGCTAAATGCTCAGCAAAAGAGCTCACTTGGACCCCAAAGAAATTACCTTGAAATTATGACACTTAACCATGGCAAATGCACCAGGCTTCATTTGAGGAGGCGGCCCCAGCACTGCAAGTGAACTGATACCATGGGACATGTCCTTAGGCTTTTCTGGTGGAGCTTTTCTTGCTAATCTGATTTAATGCATTTTCTCTTTTAAATGTAAGTATTTAAAATGCAGCTGGACTTCTCACTTCCCTAGCGGAGACGGCTGGGCTAGTTCAGAAGACTGTCACCTGCAGCTTACCATTGTGTCTTTGAAGCCAGATGCAGCTGGGTTAGAATGCCACTTTTGCCACTTTCTTTCTGACTTTGGACGCTTTTTGTAATATAGAAGCAAAGAACACCTATTCAATATCTATTAAATAAGATAAGATGTGAAAAGCCAAGCACTAGCCTTGCACACAGTAGTTGCTCAATATATGCTCCCTCCTTTTCCTGGTACAGCTGTCTGAGTCCTGTCAAGACATAGAAACCACACAGTAGGTTGAACGTGGGGCAATTGATATAAGAATTAACTATGATACAGGGAACTCTAAGATGTAAGGAAAACCCTCTCGAGTTTCCTAGAGGCGGCCAGGGCTGAGGGAGAGTACCCGCAGGACGGATGCGGAGGGTCTCAGACATCGTTGGAGAAGGTGTGGTTGGTCAGCGCTCCAGACAGCACAGAAGTGCGCTGGTTTGGGCAGGCTGGAGCTGGGCTGGCGTTGCTGGGCAAGCAACAGGCCACCGTTTAGCGTACATGGGGGAGGGCAGGGGGCAGGCGATCAGCAGCCGGTGGTGTGTGCGTGCAGAGGGAGGCAGGAGGCCTTCAGAGCATTCGGGCCACCTGGGGGCTGCACAGGGGCTATAGTTTCCACGTCAAGAGGGCTTGTCGCCAGGCTGTGCAGTCACAGAGGGATCACACTCTGGGCCTGGGGCTCAGGCAGACTCCATTAATGAATTAAGTCTCATGATATTTATAGATAAACCAAAACCAGGCAGGATCACTGATATGTTAGATGACAGAACCAAGATCCAAAAACTTTTGCTTCAAAACAAAAGAAATAAAATTTAATATAAATAAATGTAAAATTTCACTTTGGGTTCAAGTCATCTACTGCATATATATAATAGGTAGGAGAAGAGCTGAAAGTAACCTGTGGAGACAAACTCGGAATTTCATTTTACTGTGAGCTCAGGGCAAAAAACACAAGATGGCTGCTGAAAAGCTAAGTTTGTCTGGTCTGGATCCACAGAAAGAGCTCAGGAGAAGGAAGGTAATTCCACTGTGCCGGTCAGGCCAACTCTGAGGACTGGTCTCACTCTCTGCCCACTGCTTGAAGAGTTGTATTCACGAATGTCAGCACATATTTATTGAGGACCTACTACGTGCCCAGCATTGTACTGGGCCCAAAGACACAAGAAATCTCAAAGTCTAAACATAGAAATTGGATATTTTTTAAAGATTGTGTTATATGTATCCATAAAATGGAATACTGGTCTTTGAGTACAAATGATGATTTAGTTGTATACTTATTGACACAGAAAGAGTTTCATAATACTCTTTCTCATAATACAAATACATAATGGTTAAGTAATGAAAACTAAATGCAAAACAATATTTGTAGTTGTGTTCCATTCAATTTTTGAAAAATATCAAAAGAATATAACATTAATTATCACCAGGCATTTTTTTCGGCCAATCTGTATTATTCTTTTCTCTATAATGAAAATATATTGTTTGTATCATTTTTAAGTTCCTTATCAAGGTAGATGAAAGTATAGGAAGTATTTAGGGTGTGATCATCCCTGGGAAGCTTTGCGGAGTAGCCTATTACGTTGGCGTTGGACAAAGGGTGGACGGAGGGGCAGCAGCAGTTACCCACGTGTGACACTAGATGGCGCCAAAGCAGCTAGGTAATGTTTAGCCTCGGAAACTGAGTTGCCTTTGCTTCAGAGAAACAATTTTATGAGATTTGAAATATTTAAGATTCTCTAGCCAGAATAAATGTTTTGTTAAGCCGGAATAAGTGTTGTGCTAATGATATTGAAATTACAGGAAACTTTTCAAAATTATAGTGGAACGCGCCAGTGATTGCTTTAGTAGTGTTTTTGGACTTTTGTTGCAATGCTACCAGATACCCGTGCACAAAACCTTACGGTACCGGTTCTGCAGGTCGAAACTCCCCAAATTCCTGCTGCGTGATGACTCTGACTCTTACCCCTGACTATTCAGTAACCTCCGGATTTCTAGTAAGCCGTTGCAAGATTCAGGTGTGGGTAGTCATTGACAGTGAATCATCAGTCCCGAAAGCAGCTGGTTCTCAGCGCGGCCGGGGAGACGCGCTCGCCCCGCGCCCCGCAGCCTCGCCTCCCGGGCTCCGCGCGTCTCGGCCTCGGCCCCAGCCGGGACCCACCGGGCGGGGAGGCTGCGCCGCGGCCTCTGCAAGTCGCCGCCCGCGCGGTGCCGCGGGGACGCCCTGTTCCCCCGCCCCGCGCCTTTCGTGTGCTCACCTGAGCAGGCGTCACACTCCCTTCAGAACAGCGAAAGGTGACAGAGAGGTTGCTCACGGGTGGACACAAAAAAGCACGGAGAGCTCTAGGAGCTCACAGCTGGGGAAACACAGCTAGACATATCGGTTTTACAAAGGCAGCGAAGGCAGGACAAGCCACACTGGGACGCAAGGGACAAGAGAAGTCCTGTGATTCCGGGACACCGCTGTTGGCGCTTTGTCCGCGGGAAATGTCGTCTGAAATGTGCGTTGGCCGACAGCCGTTATCTGGAAGCTCTTTCCCTCTGCTTCCCTTTCCCTCCCGCTGCTGCCAACTCACCTCCGGTCTGAAAGAACGGCTCTGCTAGAGCAAATGTGTCTTTGTCCCCTCCAGGCTCTAAGTCCCTGCCCTGTGGCAGGAAGGAGAAATCACCCTCATTTTGATAAGCGAGAAAACTATACATATTTACCCAACTTGAATCTCAGCGTTTGAATAGATGGATAGATAGGAAGGTATTGTGAAGATCAATATTGGTCTGTAAGCTGATAGTACCAAAACGTGAAGAAAACAGGACAGTAAGAGGATCCTAAAGAAAATTGTTTGCAGCATGTTCTGTCTCAGAGGTGGATACTGGAGATGGGATCAAGCAGGTTTCACTATATTAAAATGAGCCAGGCTCTTCCTCCAGCAGGTGAATTATCCACAGAAAAGGTGCATAAGCTGGAGATGAGTTCTTACAGGGTCTTCATTACCAAGCTCAGGTTGTTTTTAAACAATCCCAGCGAGGAATAGATGGACTTCCCGTGTTCTCAGGCTGGTATTTCAGAGTCAGCACTGATGCGGAAACCAGGGTTCAGAGAGTGATGTCATCCCTGGGGAGACTGGTTCCAGTGCAGGAGGGTGACGTTCTTCTAAAAGTGTCTCTTGTTTTCTTCCTGCAGGTTGACCATTATCCTTCTGTGAGTTACCACCTGCCAAGTTCATCTGACACCCTGTTCAACTCTCCCAAGTCGCTCTTTCTAGGAAAAGTTATAGGTAAGAATTTGGGGTAAATTGCTCATGTAATATTCTAAAGCTCCTAATTCAGCTTTGAAATGTGTTGTGATTGGTGGTTGGGGTTCTAAGTCAATGATGATAATGAACCAACATTGTTTGCTGTGTGACGTAAACTACAACGTAAATGAAGCCAAGTGTCTGCTCCCACCTTCCTTATGTCAAATTTGTTCATTGGTTTATTAAAGACCTCTACCTACTAACATTATTTAACTTTACTTTTTCTCATTCTAAGCACATCGACATGATTCTTTCCTCTTCTCACTCTCGAGAAACCTACCTGACACTATTTGCAAATTAGAAGGCCAATAGGAATTGGAAAATTATAACAGAACATCCTCCCCTGTGTGTGATTGTGAATTTGAGTCACCCTGGCCCTTTTCTTTACTGTAAATCAGTGCTATCCAGATTAAAATATAGATATAATTGGTTAAGTATTTTTAAATGATTAACATAAAGCCAATGAATTTTTTTTCTATGAGAATGTATATTGTGAACCCAAAATGGAAATAGTAAGATGGTAGGTATGTGCAGGCCAACGAGGAGGTGACTCTGTGTCCAGTGGGTAACTGTGATAAGAATGGTATTCATCGTAAAAAGCACTCTTTTAAAAAGATGGGGGCAAATAGTGAGGAGAACAGGAGACCCAACCTATAATAAAAACCACAATAATATACACTTATATAGCACTTACTGCAGGCCAAGCTCTATTTTAAGCACTTGAGATATATGAACTCATTTAACCTTTGTAGCAATTCCATGAGATAATCAAGATTGTTATGCAAGAGAATGCAAGACTATTATCTCCATTTTACAGATGAGAAAACTGAGGTACAGAGAGGTTAAATAACTTGCCCAAAACCACCTACTTAATAAGTGGTGGAACCAGAACTTGAACCTAGGCAGTCAGACACCTTCATCTCTGCTCCTAACTACGGTGCTATACTGTCTGTGATGGTTGACTTAGAAATGAAAAGAGAAAGACAGAAGAAGATTTTGGCAGCAGAGGTTGACCAGTTGAGAGAGAAATCCTACATCTCATCCCAGAAAGTGGCCAAGAGCAAAACGTATTCCTGGACTTAGAACCAGGACCACACCAGGCAAGATAGCAGACGAGCCGAGTTGTACGTAAGGCCCTCGGAGGGAAAGACTACATCCTCAGTAAAAAGATGGGAGGGAGTGAAACAGCTCAGTCTGTGGGTGGAGGGGGAAAAGGAATGAGGGCTAGAATTCATTGACCGCCTACTGTGTGGTAGGCATTGTGCTAAACATTCTACATCTGTAAATGTGACAACTAAATGTCACAAGGAGCCAATGAAGCAAGACCTATGATGATCACCCTCATTTTACAGAGGAGGCAGCTGAAGCTGAGGGGGTCAAGTTGCCAACGTTACTTAACTAGGGTGTGGTAAAGCAGAGTAGTGAAGCCAGGTCTGTCTGTCGAGTGTCCACGTCTTAAGCAGATCAAAAGGACCTGTCCAGAAGGGATGCAGCTGGAAATCGAGTGATGTCCTTAATTAGCAACAAGAAGTGGCTGTTCAGTGGAGTAGAGCCTTGACATCAATAAGGCATATATCCTGAGATACTGGTGATGCCCAAATACCGCCATACACATTCCTACAACTCAGTCAAGAGTAATCGAAAATTTTAAGTGCTCCTTCAGAGCAGTAATGATTCCATCAAAACAAACTCTACACTATGGTACTATGATATTCCTAAAGACACTACACTATGGTATTCCTAAAGCAACATCCGCCATGAACATGCCTGAAACAATGGGCTTCATTACTTCATGAGCCTCACAAAGTCAAGTTTCGACAGGAATGTTGGGTGATGGCTGGGTTCCCTCATGATAAATAACTCTCTCTGGTTCATCAGTGTTTCAGGTCATGTTTCAGGTCAATTTCAATTCACACTTTGGCAAAGTTACAATATGCAATGTGGCGTGGACCTTCAAGGTCATGAACAAATAACATCGTAAAGGCAACATCCTCTATAACTAAGAACTTACTGTGCTATCAATCTGTGCCAAGCTAAAAGCATAACAGGAACCTCAGATGTATGAGTGTTACACCCAGAGTTTTCTGTACACCAAAGGAAATTGTGCTGTGCACATAAACTAACTGTATGTGTGGCAATAAGTTATGTAAAGAATACATAAACGCCTGTAAGGAAGTCACGATCCCAATGTGGACGTGGCATCATGGCATCACGCACATGAGAGTAGGTTAGGCTCCTGCTACGGGTCCCCAGTGCACTGGCTCCGCACAACCCATGAGCTCCCTGCAGACCAGGGCAGTGTCTCCTAGTTCCACTGTATCCTAAGAAGGAGCAAGTGCTCAACGAAAATATTTGTTGAATTAATAAAGAATAAAAGGAAAGAGAAACAAAAAAAATAGAAGTATACTGCAGAGTGAGAGAGTATGGATGATGATGCTAATACCATCGATAAAATTAGCACAGAGGTGAGATCTGCAGTTCTCATGTAGCTTGCAGTCTGGTTTTTCTAAAAGCAGGTATCTGACAATAATAGAGGGGAGAGAATGTAGGCTTTGGAATCGGGCAGAGCTGATGTCTTAGACAGCTCGGGCTGCGGTAACAGAATACCACAGACTGGGTGGCTTAAACAACAGGAATTTATTTCTCATGGTTCTGGAGGCTGGGAAATCCGAGATCAAGGTGCCATCAAGGTGTCTGGTGAGGGCCCTCTACCTAGATTGTAGACAGCCGTCTTCTCGTTGTATCCTCACACGGCAGAGAGAGAGAGGAAGCAAGCTCTCTCATGTCTCCTCTGATAAGGGCACTAATCTCGTTCGTGAGGGCTTCACCCAAAGGCCCAACCTCCTAATGTCATCACATTGGGGCTTAGGATTTCAACATATGAATTTGGGGGGGACGCACACATTCAGTCCATAGAGCTGGTTATATTTGAATCCAGGCTCTGTCTCTCATTAGCGTTGAAACTGTGGGCACATTATTTGAACCTCCCAGGGCCTGGATTCTTTCAGTTACAAAATGGGGACACAAACACCTACTTGCAGGCTGTTATCTCCCCGAGGGGGGCAGTATGTGTCTTTTATTTTTCTTTAACTAATCTATTTGCAGCCGCCACATCCGTGCCTAGCATACAGAGCATACTCAAAAAATATTTGTGGAATACATGAAGTACTGTTTTAGTATTAAGCTAACATCTTAGAAGGTAACCAGCACAATGCCTGATACACAAATAAAGAAAATTATTACCATTTTTTGATGCTGGCTCCATACCAGTCATTATGGTATGTATTTTAAGTACAGTGCTCTCTATGATCCTCACACCACCACCCAGACCGCTGTTACCCTCATGTGTGGAAGAGGGAACCAAGGCTCAGAAAGGTGATTTTCTTAAAGCAGGTTTCCCAACAGCAGCACTATTGCCATTTGGGGTCACATAATTCATTGTTGTGGGGGCTGTCCTGTGCATTGTCAGATGTTTAACAGAATCAATCCCTTTCCTCATGTGTCCTCTACCCACTAGGTACGAGTAGCACCCCCCAGTTGTGATAATTGAAAATGTCTCCAGACATTGCCAAGTGTTCCCCAGGAGGGCAAAGTCACCACCAGTTGAGAGCCACTAGCTTAAAGTCCCCCAGCCAGTCATTGGTGGATCTGGGACTTGAAATGAGTGATGTGTGACACCAAGAGCTAGACACTGCCTCCTGGTAACACCTGCAGCTCTCAGAATAATGAAGAAGCAAGGAGATTTGTTACCCTGAGGATAAATTCTGTTACACAATCAAAGGAGTCACAGTGAGGATCAAAAAAGACTTGTGGGTGCCTGGGGAGGCTAATCATTGGCCACCTTTTCAAGCCAATATTCCTTAAATATTTGTTCTATTAGTAGGGCAGGATTGATGAGAAGCACTTTTAAATTTCCCTTTGAAAGCAACATATACTTCAGTGAAAAACAACCACTATGCATTCATCAGCTATGTAAATATTCATCTGTAAAGATGGAACGAACTTCCAACAGATATCTCATGTACTCCAGTGAGGTTTTGGCACCCCCTGGAGATCAATGCCCCCAAGTTGTTGCATGGCTGGGTTAGCTGCAAATCAGAAACTGAGCTCATAAAAGAAGCAAAAGGATATGGATCTAAATAAATAATATGATTTCACATGGAGCTCTGTGATGAGCACTGCTTGAAAAAGGACACATAAAAAGGATGCGAGAAAGGGTACATAATCAAGGACAAGTGCCATCTTTCTAAAGAGAATGGAGGAAATTTATTATAGAAATAAAAGTGTGATCACTGTCAACCAACATCAACATTTTAGAATGAATTGTTACATTTCTGAGTCCTTCCAGAAGGAAGTCAGGGTCACTAGGAATGGGCAAAGCTTCACAAAGTAGAAATTTCGCCAGACCTACTTATGTCCATTTTTCATCATTTACTAGCTGACTGATGTCATAGACTTTATGAATCTGATTTTCAGTAACAGATTTAATAGTCTCTCAAGAAATCTTTGAGTCAAGGAAGAGAAACATAACTGGAAGCCTGAAGCAGAGCCTTCTGTTTACTCATGTTTTTTCCAACATTTCTATCAATGCCTTGGATAAAGACACAAATAGAATGTTTATTAAGTTTGCAAATGACACGAAGCTGAGAGGGATGGTGTAATAAGCTGGTTGATGAAAAACACTTCAAAAGCCTCTTGACAGGCTAGAAAGATAGTATAAAAATAATGAGATGAAATATAATAGAGATAAACTTAATTCCTGTACTTAGACCAAAAAAAAAGTGCATAAGTAGAAGACAGAAGACTCTTGGTATGATGAAAAAGACTCAGGGCATTGGTCTGATGGAGAGTTCAATACAAGCCAACACTACATGGTGATAGATTTTTAAATAAATCTAATACTGAACTACATTAATAAGAGAATTGTGTCTGGAGCAAGGAGTACAGTCGAACCTCAGCTGGGATGTCATGGCCTACCCTAG